GACCGTAGCTGCAATTATCCCTTTGTATTATTGTTGGCCGGGAGCGAAAACTGAATTTCAACAGATTAATCAATCTGATGAAGGGTGATTGGAAAAGCCACGTGGGCTTCGAGTACCCCAGGGGAAAACAGACCCCAATTTAATTTAATCATTCTCAACTTCCGATAACCTTAATCCAAGAAAACCCTCAATCCAAATTGCCACAAAGATCTTAAATTTTCTCCTTAAAAATGGATTTAGATTACAATCCAAGCCGTAAATCCCGAATCAAGAGCAAATGGGTAGCCACAGTAGCCAGCATATGGATCCAGTGCACCAGTGGCTCCCTCTACACCTTCAGCATCTATTCCCCAGTCTTAAAATCCAGCCAAGGCTACGATCAATCCACACTCGACACAATTTCTGTTTTCAAAGATTTGGGTGCAAACGCAGGCATCCTTTCCGGCCTGCTCTACTCCACCACCGCCCGCGATGGCCGTGGGGGGCCATGGGTGGTGCTGTTGGCCGGCGCCGTTCAGTGCTTTCTAGGGTACTTGCTCATGTGGTTGACTGTTACTCAAGTGCTGCCACGGCCGCCGGTGGCGGTGATGTGCTTGTATATGCTCCTGGCGGCGCACGCCATGACGTTTTTTAACACGGCGAATGTGGTCACCGGCGTGCATAATTTTCAGAATTACGCCGGCACTATTGTCGGCATCATGAAGGTAAATTCCGACTTTGGGTGAATAATTATCGTATTTAAGAGCATCCCCAACTATAATTCATACTTCAGATCGAATGTGTCGTCAATGGGATAAAGAAAAAATTATAAACAGGTGAGAGAATATGTTGACTCATAAAGTCTATAGAGCGTCACAGTTCCCTTGACTATGTCACGTCAGCTAAACATAGTCCTAAACATGCAATTGATACGAACTTTTGTAGTCATCGTTTATTTTAGCTTATGTTGAACCATTTTAGTGCAATACACATTAGCATTGTTCTAAGCTTGTAAAGTTTACTTATAAGCAAATAATTAAATTCTAATATAAATAATCTTTATGTCGTTTAATGTAAAAAATAAGTGAGTTTGATAGAAATGTAAGAGTTAATTTTGAAAATAAGTTACTAATTGTAAGAAAAAGTTAACATATTCCAACATGTCTGGAAATAAAATATTACATTTAAGTAACTCACTCATTTTAAAGCTAAGCCTAATATTTTCATAATACATATTTTGTTAGACAACTTACCTTTAAGGATTCTTAGAAAAATGAAGGAATATCGGAGATCTTGAACATGACATAAAATTGAAAGCATTGATCACATATTTAGAATATTTATACCAACCTCTGTTGTGGCTTGAACGGGTTATTTTACCGTACATTATATTCATAGTTCGCATAAAAACTGAAACTTTATTTCATTTATTTTTGGTACTGATTTAAAATGCACTTAATTGAGCTGAATTCATGGGCATGTGAACTTAGAATTCACCAATACTTCTACGTAAGAACGAGAAAATGTCCACTTTAGTTTAATAAATTCCACTGTTCTGCACTTCACGTGTGCTATATTGAGATATTTTGAACTGCTTGTATGTCACCACAAGAATTTGTGTTTGCTCCAGTATATGTTGCTTTTGACAGGGCTTTCTTGGTTTGAGTGGAGCTATATTGATTCAAGTGTACCAGACAATTTTCAAGGACAAGCCTAGTTCATATCTACTGATGCTGGCGTTTTTGCCCACAATAAGTTCTCTTCTGTTCATGGGGTTTGTAAGAATTTACAAAACAAACGAAGAATACGAGAAACGATACTTGAACAGTTTCTCTTTTCTTGCTGTTCTTCTAGCGTCTTATCTTACAGCTGTAATAATCGTTGAGAATATTCTCAAGTTAAGATTGTCAATACGCATCTTCACCTTTGTTGTACTCGTCTTGTTGCTAGTCTCCCCGGTTTTTCTTGCAATTAATGCCCAGAGAGAGAAATCGTATAGGATGATAAAATCCCTGCTCGAGCATAACCAATTAACTGATGACAGAGAGGATATGACACAGATCAGACAAAATGAGGTCTCAAATGGTGCTGATCAAGTTACAGAAACAAGTGATGATACTATGAGACAAGGGGACGACCTGAATCTTCTGCAAGCAATGTGCACTATCAGTTTCTGGTTTTTATTAATTACAACTGCTTGCGGCATGGGCTCAGGACTTGCCACAGTGAATAACCTGGCACAAATAGGAGGATCTCTTGGTTACACTAGCTTAGAGATTAATACTTTGGTTTCTTTATGGAGCATCTGGAATTTTCTCGGTCGATTTGGAGCTGGTTATATTTCGGATTATTTCTTGCACGCAAAAGGATGGCCGAGGCCCTTGTTCATTGCAATTACCCTAGCCGCTATGAGCATCGGTTATGTTGTGGTTGCTTTTGGTTTTCCGGGTGCTCTATATGCCGGTTCGGTTTTGGTGGGTGTTTGTTATGGCTCACAGTGGTCACTAATGCCAACAATCGCTTCTGAAATATTCGGTAAAGTGCATATGGGAACAATATTCAACACCATAACCATTGCCGGTCCTGTTGGATCTTATGTTCTTTCTGTCAGGACAATTGGTTACTTCTACGACAGAGAAGCATCGGATAATGGAAAAACGTGCATCGGAAATCACTGTTTCAAGTTATCGTTTATTATTATGGCATCTGTTACCGTCTTGGGATCTCTTGTTGCCTTAGCATTGTTCTTCCGAACAAGAAACTTCTACAAACATGTCATACACAGAAGGCTTTTATATTCTCAGCAATGGAGTAGTCTCTTGGTGGATACTGAATGAAAGGTACTAAAAGAGATCTCATTTCATCCATCAACTGCTTTTGTGATATAATGTTTATACAGCCTTGGCTATGGTAAAATGTTTGGGAAGAGTCGGTCCAGTATGTCACTCGAAATGCTGATATATATTTGTAGAATACGCAGTTAATGTTTAAGGTGCAGCTTACTCGATGAAGCTACTTTTCGGTGCACAGTTAGTATGGGAGGAAACCACTGTATAAACCGTTCAAGCTGCCTTGTCGAAGTCACATAACAGCCATCGTAGCGAATGGATAGCGTGTCCATCAGCTGGGAAGCACGGGAACCAGGATATAGAGAAATCACCAGTGCAGAAGATACAGTGAAAACTTGTTGGCTGAATTCAGGATTGTGAGTATTTTTTGCCTAAAATTTTAGGATTTTACACTGTTCATGTTTGTAGTTTGGCGAAATTTTTTCACTATTTAGGACACTGGCCGAGATTTGGTAAGGTGCATTCGTATATTGTCAAGTCTCGTCTTGTATTGTATATGTAACCTGCCAAAGGGGAGCAGGGTCTTCAAATTTTGATCTTAATTAGATTGCACGAGTATTTATAATGGGACCTACCATTAGGAGTATCGGAGTTGGTGCCGTCTCGTATGAGGTTTTTGCTCGTTTAGAGCACTTGTCGAGCTTCGACGAGCTAAGACCAATATATGTATCGTAAGTTTTCTATAAGAATGTATATGTTTGATGTGCTGGGCATATAATTTCTGTTTGATAGAAATTAAAATCTAGATTTTAATTTAAATCAAAATCAACAATTAGTTTCAACCACATGTTTAATGGAACTCACAACTTTTACACTACACATTTCATTAACTTTTATCAAAATTTATTAAAAGTCTGATTTTAATATATTTTGGTGTTTATATTTTATTTTAATTTCTGAGAAATGGCAGAAAAATATTGCCGGAGACTTTTTGGAATTTCAAAAAATTCTCGTAATATTTTTCTATGATTCAGTAATACTTTTTGGAGACTTTTATCAACGATGTCATGGTATGTTTTTGACAAATTAGTTTCAGTAAGACACTGGAAGGGTTCGAAAAAAGATCTCGTCTAAGGTACCAAAATCTTTTTTTTTATTGATTACTAAGATAAATGCTCTTACCCAAAAAAAAAAAACAAAAAAGGGGGGTAATCTTTTATTCTTTAACCAAGGTCAAATATTTATATTCATAGTGTACCTGGTAGCCTCGTCCCTAATGATGTATCCTATAACATCATGGATGTTGTCATGAACCGTGAAATGGTCAAACATATGACCTAAATTTACAGTTAAAGTTGTTTGTTTATGGATGTCATGACCAATCCTCACAAGATATGCACAAGGACTCAAAAAAATAAAAATAAAAAAATAATAGTGTAGATTCTTGAATTATTAACATTTATGATGAATGTACACTCCTTGTTTTATTCATGTTGACACTCCCCTCACATGGGGAGTGGGGTCCGCGATTGTGGGTCTCACGTGGCCCAACTCCGTATGAAGGGAGTGTCAAACTTGATATAAACAAGCATAGTTCTTAAACGAATGGGGACAAATTCGAATTTTATTCACTTAAAATAAGGTTATGGTGATCAAATATGGGCGAGTTGACCAACCCACTAGAAAATTCATTTGATTCTCGTGCCTAGAGTTAATTTCATGTAAGGGCCAAATTCTATGTTTTCTTTATGTTCTTTAAGTTAGAATTCATCACCTCAGTTGGAACTCCTTAGCCACGGCTTACTGGAGCTAGAAGATAGCATCAGCAGCTGTTCCTCATTTTCAGGAGAATGCAACAAATATTGTTAGCCAGATGTAGTGTTAGTTTGATAGAATAATTCTAGATTCTTCCTTTTCAGTTGTATATAACAGTGTAATGTGTATGAGAAATGTATCAATTAAAACCTTCATTTTATTCTACTTTCTAACTTGGTATCAGAGCCAAAATGGCCAACACAAATTCCGGAAATCAATCAAACCCATCAGAGCTCAACA